TAGTGCTGGTATCCGTACATGTGGTCGCATTGGCTCTCTATCTTCTCGACAGATTCAGTCCATTCGGTGGCTTCAAAATGGCAGATGTCGTGCCATCAGATGAGGGCGCTCTCAACCTTTCGAGTGCGATATGGTTTTCATGGGGTGTCCTATTGAACAGTGGAATCGGAGAAAGTATACTATTTTAATATTAGTTAACATTTTGAAACATTCACTTTCTTTCAGGGACTCCCAGAAGCTTTAGTGCCCGTGTGTTGGGAATGGTTTGGTATGCAATTGGAAATGTCATGAAAAGGGCAATAAAATGTGTGAATTGAATATTTGGTTGTAGGGCTGGTTTTGCTATGATAGTGGTCGCCTCATATACGGCTAATTTGGCCGCTTATCTGGTGCTCAATCCACGCGATGATCACGCGGTGTCTGGGATTGAGGTGTGACTCCCAACTAAACTACAATATTATCAAACTTTCGAATCAATTCCATAGGACTCTCGACTCAGAAATCCGACCGAAAACTTCACGTTTGCAACAGTGAAAGGAAGTGCAGTCGATATGTTTTTCAGAAGTCAAGTCCATCTTTTCAATGCCTACCGAACAATGGAAGAAACTAATAAACAGAGTCCCGAAGAGGCCATCGCTGCCATTAAAAAAGGTGACATTTGACACTATATTGCGTTCATTTTGTATAAAAATTATACATTTCTTTAACAGGATATTTGAATGCATTTATATGGGACTCGCCTCGACTCGAGTACGAAGCGGCCAAAGACTGCGATCTCGTTATTTCGGGTGAACTATTTGGTCGATCGGGTTATGGCATTGGATTACAAAAGAATAGGTCTTAAGCAACAAATTTAAGAATTCTATTCAAACTCTAAGCAATCATTTAAATGAATAGCTTTTGGACAGAAAAAGTGACGTTAGCTTTGCTTCAAATGCACGAAAGCGGTTCAATGGAAGCCTTGGATAATAAATGGATTTTACACTCAGACACCGGTAATCAATTGAGATTTGCAATATATTCAAAGCAGTTCTCAATTCAACCATTATTTGTGTTAATTTGTAAGATTGCGAGAGTAAGAGCGAACACTTTCCATATACACTGGGCATCAAGAATATGGCCGGAGTCTTCATTCTTGTTCTCTCGGGAATTGTGGTCGCATTCGGACTAATAGTAATCGAAATTGTATATAAGAAAAGGAGGGCTCGAAAGCTAAAGCGTTTGGCAATCGCTAAGAAGTTGGCCATTAAATGGCGTTTAAGGGTTCAGGTATTGATTTGTTTCTAAATAATACAAATTATTATGACTTCAGAATCCCTGAGTTTTTACACAAAAAAATTCTTAATGATTAGAAGAGAAAGTCGTTGTATTCGAGTCTGTATTCGGCGTTTCCGGCGATCACTAAAGAGTTATCAATAAATAAAAGTTTTGAAGTCGAGTCGAGAGCATCGACTCCATGCGATTCACAGACGTTTGTTATACCACCGCCTCCTCC